TTAACATAAATATATCCTAAAACTATAATAAAATAAAAAATAATATATAGTATGATAGGCAATCAATTCGTCGTGTTTTATTTAGTCACAATGTGCATCCCGGAGAAATATTCAAAGGAATGCGTAAAAATGATGGAAGAATCGGCAAGCAAAGGTTTTCCAATATCATGCATTTCCGGACGCGATCGATATGATTGTATCGAAAGAGTCGGTAGAAAGGAAGCAGATATCGTTGCTGTAGATCCAGAAGACATGTATCTCGCGGCAAAGAATAAATTGGCTGAAAAGGCTGGATACAGTATCATCGAACAGGTGATATATTAAACATTCCGAAATTTATTATATTCAAAAAATTAATATTTAATTATAAATATGGCATAGTTAGAAAAAGCAAATTTAAAATAAACTAAAGAAGTAAAAAGGAAAGACGACCAGAACTTGAATGTAAAAACTCAAAAAATGCAATTCTTTTCGTCGATAAGCATTATTTCTAAAATAAAAAGGAATTATAATAAAAAATCAGAAATAGTATAGTATTGTAAATATATAATTTACATTATAAAAATATATTTTAAAAAATATATATTTTTAAAAAAATATTGGATGATTTAAAGAAAAAAAATTATTTCTAAAAAATATTTGTAACAAAAAAATTTTTTACAGATATAATTTTGTGATCTTTCGAGAATAAAAAAATGTATTCAATTATAACTAGAAATTAGACTGATAAGAATAAATTAAATAAGAAAAATAATCCTATTTTCAGTCGATATAGATTCATGCAAAAATTTGACAAATACATTTTTGTTCTAAACTGCAAGTCGATCGGATGTTCGATAAGATATTTAAGAATATAATTTATATATATAAATTGTCATATATAAATTGTTCAGAAAAATATGTTTTTTTTTTTGTTAGGTGAGAACGAAGGAAGAACCTGATGCGATATATCGTTACGAAGCGGTAGCCGTAATACACAAAGACCTGGACATTAACAACGTTCAGGGCTTGAAAGGTCTTAAGTCCTGCCACACTGGTGTGGGCCGTAATGTCGGCTACAAAATTCCCATCACGAAACTCACCGCGATGGGCGTGTTGACTGACATCAACAATCCGGAATATTCCGCTCGCGAGAATGAACTTCGCGCTCTAAGCACACTCTTCGACAAAGGTTGTTTGGTGGGTACATGGTCACCCGATCCTACCATCAATCAGAGGCTCAGTAAGTGGCAGTAATCTTTGAAATTTGCGGCGATTGTGTCATATAGGTGTAGCAAACAATATCATCAATTGAAATAACATGTACTTAGATCGACTCACTTTTTTCAAGACACTAATTTTCTTGTGTTTATTTGAAGTCAATTTGCAATCGTGCGAGTTAAAGTGACCGTAGCTCAACAAACTACGATGCAAATGAAGGAGTTACGTTAAGTAGAAAGTAAAATTATGTCGTAACTATTTCTTCTGATTGCAGTTGACTTTTCTCTTTCACATATAGCGAAATAATTAAAGTATATATTAAAATGTTAATAGATGCGTCGTAATGCGTCAAGTTTTATTCGATATTTATTTTTGTATTTATGAAACTTGACACATTTCAAATTCATGAATTGTATAAATAAACATTTTATTTAAAAAAAAATACTTTAAAAAAATACTAAAAATGCTAATTAAGAAATATGAGCTATTAATTTTTTAATTAGATATTTTATAAATATTTTACTATTATACTACTATATTATACTATTGTGATATTGCAGTTGAAGAGGATTTAATTAGATTGAAACTTCGTGCACATTAAATTTATTTTATATATATATGTATATATAATTAATTAAAACAAGAACTACATTTTTTGCTCGTTACCATATTTATTCACGTTACCATATTTATTCTATCTGTATTATTTTATTATTAATTTCATTCTTTCAGAGGAGACGTACAGCAATATGTGCGCTCTATGTGAGAAACCAAACATGTGCGATTATCCGGACATATATTCCGGATACGAAGGAGCTCTACGTTGTCTAGCTCACAACGGCGGCGACGTCGCCTGGACGAAAGTCATCTACGTGAAGCGTTTCTTCGGTCTGCCCGTCGGAGTTACTCCGGCAATGCCAACATCCGAAAATCCGGCTGACTTCCGGTACTTCTGCCCAGACGGCAGCAAAGTGCCTATCGACGCAAATACGAAACCATGCACATGGGCTGCCCGACCGTGGCAGGGATACATGACCAATGGAGCTGATACCAACAACGCGGAAGCAATTCAAAGAGTACGTGATTTGTTTCTTAAGAATCTATTTTACATGTTTTTAATTGACTAATTGAATGTTATATGGAATAATAACGAGATTGTTTGAACAAACGCATTCCTATATTACATGGCGTAGTATCAGAAATTTTAAAAGATATACATTATATAATTTATGATAAAAATATTATCATTAATTTTAACTTCTAAAAAACAATAATTAGTTTTCTCATAGATATTAGCAAAAATTCTCATAGATTAGCAAAATTATTAAACAGTTAATTAGCATTATTAAATATTATCATAAATTAATTATCATAATAAAAACGACAAGTAAATCAAGAATTCAAAGGATAGGTTTAATTAAGAATTCAAAGGATAGGTTTAATTAAGAAATTATTTTTTTAAGTAACTATTGCAGATTGCGATTTAACTTTTTCAGGAATTGACGCAACTAGGTCAGCTTGGCGAAAATGAGAAAGCAAATTGGTGGGAAGATCTCTTGCTTCTCAACGAGAAGACTCTGGCTGTCGCTGCACCGCCAGTATCACCGGATGAGCATTTGCAAAGTGCGAAATACATGGACGTGATCGAGAGGAATTCCGGAGCACCGGAGAGAGACGCTCGTTGGTGTATTTGGGATGAAAATGCATTGAACAAGTGTCGTAGCCTCGCTAGAGCTGCTTTCTCTAGGTATAGTCACAAAACACATAAAATAAATGTCAATTTTCGATCAATTTAACTTGGTGTCTCGAAGCGAAACAAATTTAATTTCTTAATTGTTCTATTATCTAAATCTAATTAAAATCAAAATTTGAATCATAATTGTCTATTACCTAAAATCTATTATCTAAAAAATTTTTTTTAATTAAATATCTAATAGACAGGTAACTTCGTTACTTTTTTATATAACTTATACATACAGTTCTGCTCTTATTTTATCTTGATATTATTTAATCTTGATTTATATATTACATATAATCTATATAGAGACGCCAGACCCAGATTTGATTGCATACTGGAAAAAGACGAGACTGCTTGCTTGAAGGCTGTTAGGGATAATGGAGCGGATATCACAATAATCGATGGCGGATCAGTAAAACGTGCAATTAATGAGTACAACGTAAAACCAATCGTCGCTGAGACATATGGTGAGGGATCCACGAAACTCAGCGAACGACCAGCACTTGCTGTTATCAAGAGCGGTTCCTCCATAAATGGATTAGGTACGATATTTCAATCTATAAACTTCGTAAAATTATGTGATCAAATATATAAGAAATATTAAAAATTGGAACTGACTTTTATATTAATAAAAATATTAATTTAACAAAACTATCGATATCAAAGCAAAATTCTAAGAAAAAATGAGTTATTCGAAAAAAGTTTGTAGAAAAATTAGCTCTACAGATATAAATTTCTTTCATGCATAATTATCAATATTCTCGTTCATAGGCGATCTTAAAGACAAACCATCTTGTCATAGCGGTTACGAAGGCGATTTTGCTGGTTACAATGCACCTGCTCGTATACTCAAACTTAATGGTCTTATTAACGAACCTAGCGAAATAAATACCTTCTTCTCTAAGTCCTGTGCACCTGGTGCACCTCTTAATTCAAAATCCTGTCAACTATGTGTTGGTAATATCAAGATAGACGACGATCAAGCAAAAGAAGCAACGAAATGTAGACCTACGAATGCTGAATATTACAACGGAGGAAAAGGAGCACTCAGGTAACATCATCATTTATTACTTTTTGTGCAAATATCTTCGGCTAATTTAATATAAATAAAATAGGAATTACTCGATTTTACTTAAATAAAATAAATTGCGTACACAGTATTTGCTACTTGATAATAAGAATAATATTATTTACAGAGAATTTTATTATCTCCAAAGAGATAATATATTAAAAAGAGTGTTTAATTTCTTTCAGATGTTTGAAGGATGGCAAGGGTGACGTTGCATTCCTACCTTTGACGGCTTTGCAGCAGCTGGGTAAACACAATTGTGTTAAATAGATTACACATGTAATTATACTTATGTCATTTCTGGACGTTATATATCAAATTATAGATAACGAGAAGGATGCCGCTGGCAAACTCGAAGATTACATCTTGCTCTGTCCAAATGGTGGTCAAGCGCCCATCAACGAATGGGAACGTTGTAATTTAGGTTTGGAGCCACCAAGAATAATTGTTAGCTCGGCTGGGAAAAGTCCAAACGCCCTTGAAGAATTGAAACATGGCATTTTGGCTGCAAGTACATTGTACTCCAAAAATCCGGATCTGCTACGCCTCTTTGGTGCCTGGGGTGACAAGCCTAATGTATTATTCAAGGTAAGATCATCATGTTCTATTTGGCTAAAATAATAATTAAAGTCTAATCGAATTTATATTAAGTCAATCTTAAGTAATATCACAAATAGGATATCTAATATTAAATATTGCACTACAATTATAAATGTAGCACGTATAGCAAAAATATACTATTAATATACTATTAAATATACAAATAAAAAGAATATACTACATACATATATAAAATTATATTTTAGACGAAAAATTCAAAAATAACAATTTATTATATATAGCGTCATAAGAAATGATTATATCTTCCTTGCAACATGTTGTTTTTCAAATTCAATGATCATATATAGTTAGTTTAGCTATCTGTTTATTTGTACGAAGAGTTAAATGTTATCATTGTCTTTAGGATGACGTGAAGGAACTAATGTCCACCGATAACACGTGGGACAAGTGGAATTCTTGGGCAGATATTCAACAGGATTATGGCACTCATTAAAACTTGACGATTAAGAATCGAGCACTATTTGATAGCTTTTAATTATAGTATATGTGATATTGCTATTCCGTTGCTGTTGCTGAAAAATCATTATTAAGTCATAATATATTAATAACCCAAGAGGACTGTTAGACAAATAAAATACTGTCGATAACCTCGCTTATGTTTACGCATCGAAGTAGCATATTACCGCGATAGAGATTACGCATTTCAATGTCACGACCAATCTTTTAAGGAATAATGCTGAGCATGGAGACTTGAATCATAAACGCTTGCTTCTTTAAATTCTTTTTCGATAATAAAAAAATATATTTTTTTTTGAGCATGCGTGTACATTATATCTTAATTCCTACTTCTTTATAAAATTTTTTAAAAATGTGTTTAAAATTTTTTTATAAATATTTTTAACATAAAAAAACCAATTATTTATAAACTATAATAAAACACTACTATAATAAAACATAAACGCGACCAGCGCGATCTGTATATAAAACGTGTTTGATAACAAAATAAATAACATGTCTAAGCATTTAACAATTATCCAATGAGTGTCCCTCTTTTACACACTCTTTATCACAATCATGTATATCGAGCTTTGCAAATGTTCTTTTGATGACGATGTAACAGCCAAAGATTTAATGATCTAATGTTCCTACTTTTCTTGTTGAGTAGAGATCCAATAACGTCGATTGTGGGACAAGTGAAGTATCTTTAACTAGACACTATCTAATCTTCGTCACAAGATATTCTTCAATTTATTATGAAGAAAATTGGTGATTTTCCCGTGTTTGCTACGCATGTACTTTTTGTATATAACATTTGCACCAAAATCCTTATATTCTACAGTTCGTTGTATCATAATCTGCTTCGTAGAATTCAGCATTCTTTCTTCCCATCTAAAAATATAAATGAACTGTGAATTAAAGTTTTAAGAATTTAAAATTAATTTCTAATTAATTAATTAATTTAATTTTTTAAATTAATTAATACTTAACGTCAATGGTAGTATTTTCATTATTAATAAATATAAAAATCAATATATATTTACAACTAAAATAGAAATTTAGGTATATTATCATTTTCAAATTACTTAATTAACTAATTTCAAATTAATTAATTAATTTCAAATTAATTAATTTTTTCTTGCAGATCATGCCAAATTGTATTTTCTTTACTGCAAGATTAATATGTTTGTTGTTTAAAAAAATGTTACAAATATATCCGTTGAAGACAAAAAAAGGGATATCTATTTTGCGCATTCGCTAATCTTTTTCTTACTCTATGAGTGATTGTTTATTTCTCCAAACTTGATACCATTCTGGATTCACGTTAACATCGCTCAAATATACAATACGAAGCGACAACTCTACTGCAGCTATTGCTATTATATACACCGGAGTTTCACATAAGTTTTCATCCAGCATAGATGAATCGATCTGTAAAAAATGGTTATCTGTCTCTGTGTATAGTTTGTATACTAAAAATTGAATTGCTATTTGTGTTTATAACTACCATATAACTACCGCAAAAGTAGACACACGCGATATCATTCGGCTTAATAATATTACATCGACTGTCTTGATTTACATTTAATATATAATATGAAAGTAACGAGAATGGATCAGCGAATCGTGTGTTGAATTTAACAGCGCAGAGAATCTTCTTCTCATACTTTAACAAATCTTTCTCTTGGTTACTGTATAAATCTTTCGCCAATTCCAGAATTACAGTCGCCTAAAAAGAGAGATTATTTGATTCCATTACATATTTAACGAATTTATATTTTAAAAAATTGCAATATATTTTAATCAGCTAATTATGGTAACATCTTTCAATCTTTTCCTCTGGATGAAAAGTTTTACTACCGATGGTATTTTATCACTAGGTGCATCTTGCTTAAGAATTATCCAAAGACACGCTAGAGCTATTAATTGTATATCGTCAATTCCTACATGAATTCGATCAATAGCTACATTGAATAGTTTGACAGTCTGATAAATGACATGCGACGAATAGTAGCAGTGTATCTGAAAGTAATCGTAATCATGTACAACAGAGATTGAGGCTGATATAATTTTGATAAATACGTTTTTTCGTTCTATGTAATCTAAGTAATAAAAAAAAATCTAATTTTAGTGGCTTGTCCTTGTCATTTATAAAGATAAAAACTATTTTTGTAAATTTACAATTTTAAAACAAATATTTATATCAGTTTCCAATTTTTAATGCTAATATTAATTCGTAAAAGACACGTTTGAGCATTCGTAGAATAGAAGAACATTTGGATTCACACGAGGCAAATTAGCACTAGGCGTTTTTAATGTTTTATATCTTCTAAAAGTTAAAAATTAAAATAAAACCTACATTTTTCAATGTAAAACTTTTTAACCAATTGATTGGCAATATTGAATTTTCAGAAAACAAAACGTTATTCAAAATTGCGGATTAAGTAAAATCAATTTTCTCAAATACTTACAAATTGAAAAATTTTGCAAGTACAAATCCACATTTACTTACTTTACTTAACATCAAATGTCCGTAATTATTCTACATTATACTTACGCCAAGACGAATAATATATCCTACGACGATTCTTCTCTGTTCTGCGTTTACATTTTCACGCAGAAAATGAGGGGAAAGCCTTGGAGCGTTGATATTCCTCTTATATTCCGTCTCTGGTATATCCTCCAAGTAATCACGTTCGTACGGTGTTTCACAAATAACATCATATTCGTTTTCCTTCTTAATTGTTAATTTCCGTGTCATCACACATTTTTCGTAATGCACCTTTTTGATAAAACCATTGTTAAATACCACAGCGAGTGAATGATATAAGATAATTTATTTATAATATATTTATATTAATACTGAAACTATAGCAATAAGCCTGACAATAAATAATTGCAAGCTTATTTTAAAAACATATTTAATTTGCATTTTAATCTAATATCAATTTGTACTTAAAAAAATCACGATGCTAATCTTTTAACAATATGAACATATATTTTTGTGATATTTATAATTATTACATTTTTTTTTTTTTTACCTTTGTTGGAGTTAATGGCAGAGAGATAGAGCCATCTAAAGGTGTTACGCTATTAGAGCTAAAAAGTAGTGTAGCGCCTAATAGATTATTATTGTCAGCGTTCTCAGAAATAAAGTTTCTAAAAAAAATGTTTGCAATTTAAGATTCGGCGTGTTCCGCATGCTTGCTTTACCGTAATTTATTAAATAATTTTTTTTTATATATTAATTAATAATTAAATAATGTGTGATAATGAAAGAGATTAATTTTATTTTATTTTTAGATTTTTTATGGTTTACCTCTTGTTAGTATCATTTTGTATTGTCGAAGATAATTTATTATTTTGCAGATATATCTCAAGTTCATTTGATATCTGCTGAAGTGCATTCTTCAAGGAGTCGATATTTTGGGCTTGTCTATTACCTTCATTCGCATTTTGTAATAGCTCAGGTTGCAAATTCATCGATCCAGTAACGGAATTCTTTTGCAAGTTGGTTGTGGAATTAACTTTATTGATACCAACCAATGAAAGAGTTTTGTTATTTAAATTTGTATTAGCCATCCTATTTTTGGGCATGGTACCAGCTAAAAAGATTTACAAGTAAGAAAATCTTTCTTCCTTATTTATTATATAATTCCTTCTTTATATAATTAATATAAGCATACACATTTTTCTTATACTCTCTTAAAATATACTAACTGTATGGTTTCCTCATTTTCTCTTTCCATGTTTGAATACTAGAAGAAGTTCGTCTTTTAACATCGTCAGTAAGATGTTTAATTTTTTGAATATTGGGTAATTGAACAACACTACTTTGTGCACATTGCAACGGAATTCCTCTGCTTTCGGAATAAGATCTGAATGAAACATAATCAATTAAAATCATGATAAATATAGCATAAAATATAAAAATAGACATTAATAAAACAAGTACATATATATGTAAGTAGATGTTAATTAAAAAATAATGTAATATTTGTATATTAATTTTTGCTTCTTTAACAACAAAATGCACTGTTTTATAAATAGCTTTTTATAAATAATTTTATAAATAGTTTTATAAATAGTTAATATACATTAATATTTTTGTATCAATATCCCTAAAGAGGACTAAATTCACAGCATAAAATAAGAAGAGACTGTTTTTCATTGTATATTTTCGTTGTATGTTTGATTGATTTGAATTATGATAAACTGAAAACAGTGCTTAATAAAAAGCACAGAAAATATAGAAAAAAACATTATATTTTGATTTATAACAGAAGAGTAAATACAAACAAATGTAAACATACAATTAGATGTAATATAGCAAAATCCGAATATCATCTTTAACTTTTTTATAATTTAGAAAATAAAATTTATACAATTATCCATGCAATATTTTTTTTATTTTGTATTTTAAAATAAATAATATATAAATACATTATAAATTATGTGTGTACAAAAAGATTTATTGAAAATTTGTTTACTTGTACACATAATTACCTCCGATTGTTAAATAATTTGCTGTTCACGTTAATTTTATCTGAAAGAGCATTCTGTCGACAGTTGCTTGAAGAACGTGCTCTAATAAAAAAAAACAATTTTTTTACATTATCTCATTAAGATTTTTTCTTTTATATGTATATATAGGATTACCTCAAACATTTCACTGCCAAATTTCGAAATTTTATAAAAAATTTAATTCTGTACAACTCTCATTTTGGTTAAACAATTCTCATTTTTTGTTAAAAAGCGCATACATTTTCTGATATTTATAAAAATGTATAAAATAATCGTTATTTTGTACAGAGATTTTTGAACAATAATCTTTTAACGAAGCGCATTTTTCGATCCACGTTTATAGGAAATTTTTTATTCAAAATTAAATTTCCTATAAAATTTCGAAATTTAACTAAAACATTCAGGATCACCTTGTATATAAATATATACGTTGTTGTAAATATATATATTGTTAGAAAGTAGCATCAAGTTTAATCTTTTTTTACAACAGAACTAGTTTTCCACAGTACATCCTTCTCTCACCTGCGTGAAATATATAAATCAGAATTAAGTTTCTCGAGTTTGATTGTTGATTCGGTTGTTTTTTTGAGTACTTCATTATCTCGCCTTGCTCTTATCTCTTTTTTTTTGGGTACGTTTTTTCTCACACGAGATCGTGATCGATTACTTTCATTGCTGTCTTCGGAATAAATCTGAAATCTCCCTCTGTTGGAAGAGTATTGTTTTACCATCGTTGTATTGCAAACTACATGATTTTCAGTATTTCTTAATGACAAGCCTTTCTTCTTTTCGCTGTTCTTGAATTCGGATGATTTGCCACTTTTCGTTGTGTACATATTTTTCTCGTCCATGATTATATTTCGTGACTACTTTAACTCTATTGTCTGAGGAATCTTCGCCGACGTGATTAGACATCTAAAAAAATATACATAAATTAATTTGTTATTGATCAATTAATAATAATTAATGATATAATATTAATAAGATAAATGTTCCAAAGAAAAAGAGAGAGAGAGAGAGAGAGAGAGAGAGAGAGAGAGAGAGAGGGAGAGAGGGTGACCAGCGAATGATCAGACTTATATCCGGACATTTACACAAGATTTATTATTATTAATTTCAAATGCTTTTTTTATTATATTAATTATATTAATATTATAATTTAAACGTATTTTAAGATTATTTTAAAAACGTTTAAGATTAATAATAGTATAAACAAATATAAAATTTTGTAGATTACCGAACATAAGTACAGTTCGATCATTGGAATGTTTACCTTATACTTCATGTTTGTGATATATGTATATGGAGGGATAAAAGCGATAGAAATGTAAATCACTATTTTTAATCATTATCAATTTGAAATCATTAGTACAGTTTACTGAAGCAAATATATTGAAAAAAATCTTTTTGTTCCTCAAAATTATAATTATTTAATTCTCTCTAAAATTAATCATAATTATTTGAAACATATAGATGGGTGAAAGCCATACTGATGTCATGTTTCAAATAATATCATAAACTGTATAACTGTATAATGTATATAATTTATAATAACTGCAAGTATTAAATATATATTAAAATATTATATCTCAATCAATTATTAGAATATTATATTAAATACTTTAATTATATTATTAATTTGATGATAAAAATTACAAAATCATAAATATTCGCTAGAAAGACTTACACAAGATGTAACGCGTGATGTTGTTTCTCGGTGACTAGCGAAACGACTGCCAGAGAAATTAGTAAATCCTACGAGTTTTTGCGTCGACTGTTTATACTTGTATTCGTCCTATCCAATATAAGTAAAGCTACATGAGATAGCAAACACAACACGAAGAATTCAAAATTCGAAATAATTTATCCGCTACTTATTTTGCGTCTATCAACCATGCATCATAAACCAGGAAAAATAGAAGGCGGACATCAGTATAATGAAAAATGTTAATTTTAAATATCTGAGAGCTTTGTAAGGTTTTATTAAACAAGATGTAATATTCTAGCAACGTAGCATTCTCTCTTATTTACACTTTCAGTTTACGCGGCTTATTCACTTCTTTTTTTTCGGTTGAAAAGGCTCATGAAAATAACGCGTTCCATAACACAGATGAGACAGCTGATGAACACTGCGGCGATTATAAAAAGTAGCAGCGGCACAATATCGCCGATCTCGACCGATTTCCATGATGATTTTTCCTGCGATCAAAGATAAATATATCAGTCTGTCAGATGATAAGTCAGCAAAATTTACGTACAGCACAAAAATTTGCAGCAACATTTGCATGTTATTGCAATATTTTTGAATCTGTGATGTATGGGAGGATACGTACACTTCCTCCGCTTAGCTGAACCGACCATTGTGTCTCCAGCAATCGCTGCAGAATCCCATTGTCTCTTAAAAGAAGAATACTGCAACAAATAAAACGAAAATATTTATTGAAACAACTGAAACAACAATTTTAATTTACATTAATAAAGCTTGCACGCACTTTGCGTTGATGATACCACGGTACGGGCTGTTTGGTTGCAAAGCCATTGCTATGGTAGTCTGCGTGATAACATCCAATGGCTCTAACTTGCAGTCGACTTTTTGTTGCAGCAACGTTGCCATATTATCCAATGTCATAAAGGCATATTTGTCGTCCTTACAAACGCGTTCTAAGCCATCCAAGTAATTACTCGGTAAATCAGTTTCCTTCCTTAATAATTTATCGAACAGCACGTTCATTATTTTATCCGATGTATTCTGTCATAATAAAATTATCATAAATCAATGTGTCGTCCATGAAACTTTTCTTAAATATAATTTTTGTTAAAAGAGAGAGAGAAAAAAAAAAGACTAACTCGTTTTTAGAAAAATTCATAAAAACATATAAATTAGTACTTTATATAATCTATAAGAATAGAAAACTTTATTTAATTATAAAATATACCGTTACGGCATTTTTACTTCAAACATGTAATATACTTTTTTTCTAATCGCTGATTTTATATCAAAGGTAATCTGGGAATTATTTTAAGCACCTGAAAAAAACTAAAATCTGCCGAGTCTCCGATCACGCCGAAACGATAGGTCTTATCCTTCAGAAGACCATCCATAGTCGTGAAGGGCATGATAAATGTTTTAACAGTAAGGAAACTAATCAAGGCAGCGGAATACGCGGCTACAATTACGACAGCCGATAGATGAATTATGAAATGCACAATTCTCACAGGATCCAGTATAGATTGTTTCATACCTTTACCATTTTTCATAAGAAAGATAGAGGTCGTATATTAAAAAAAAAATTAGTATAATATATTAAGAAAAGCGCAAACACTCGAGCAATTGACACGTAAAAGTTGAAGCTACCTTGATTGCAAAATGCTCCTGTGACAAAAAATAAAATTTCTGTAAATCTTAAACGGTTGTCATTTCGAAGATATGGAGATGTTACTGCAAATAATCTTTGAATGAGCACAATCGTTCCGCTCGTAAGTACAATAAAAAAAGCGATGGCACGCCAGATATTTGTGGAGAACGGTGCCGTGTAGGCATCCCATTTTACATCAGACGATGCAGGCTTTTTAATATACGCACGGCACCTTAAAACAGAAAGAACATAAATAATAGATTTTAATTTTGTTACCTGATACATGATCTAATTCATAAACTCGCGAGTATATTTATTTTTAAGGAACACTCAACACAATCTAATAGGCTTTCTACAATAAGCCATTATCTAAGTTTTAAATTGTAAGATATTGACCAATCACAGTCGAATGTGAGAAAAATAATTGACTATGATTGGCCATTTCTTACAGTTTAAGACTTAAAGCTTAAGTAATGACTTATTGTCGAAAGTCCGTAATGTATCTAATAAATAATTAAATTCAACTATCATTATGCGCAATGTTACATTTATTACTACCCATTTCCACTAATGTTATAGATTAACTTTAATCTCGGTTTAACTTACTCTTTGTTTTTTTCTAATCTTTAGAACTAGAAAAAGACGAAAAGTAAGTTGAATCGAGATTAAAGTTAATCTACATTGGTGGAAATGAGCATTAGTCTTTTTACATCATGATCTGGTACAGATCATTGTTTGTACATTTGTTTTTAATGGACTTGACACAATGTAACGTATTTAAATAATTAAATTTAAATCATCTGTGTCTCTGAACCAATTAATAAATGTCCTTTAAATCTTATTAATTTCGCATATATTTTAATATTTTCTGATGCTTATAAATACAGTGTTTTTAAACTACCCGAAAAATGTTACATAATGGACATATTACATATATAATTATATATAAAACATGTAATTTTAATGTATAATTTTGTATAATTTTATATAATTATATATGAAACATTTTTTTCTCGAGTAGATATCAAATATCTCAAGCTTGTTAACTAAAACATCGATTAGATTTAGATATCTCATTATTTAGAATTTTTTAAGAAGGAATATACTACTTAGTTGTGTAAATAGGCGTTGTAAAACTGATAGCATCTAATCTATCCGAGGTCATCATAAACTCCGTCGCCGCAAAGTCGACATCATTGTTCATTAACATCCCGATCGCACCCGTACATGATCCGTTTGGTAGACACATGCCCCATGATTTGGCCTCCTTGTAGGTGAATCTGTGCACATTTAGAAATAAAATCGGTTTTTATTATCAGAATTCTGCAGCATATATAAGAACGAAGTAAACAATTATTTTCAAATGACAATTGTATGTTTTTTTCCGAAGAAACTTCACAGCAAAAAGCTGTCAAAATCAAAATTAAATAACCAGAAAATTATTTTCAAATTATTGATAATATTTTTCGAACAATAATAGTTATTGTAACAATTCCAGAGCAAAAGGAAGGAAGAAAAATCTAGAATGAAGGAGCAGTAACGTCATGTTGCGCAATCTTACTGCAAAATGGATTAATTTGAAAAGAATCAAAATAACAATGTAACCTTTTTTAAAATATCATATTATCATTTTTATCTTAATAATAATCGTACTTAATTAAATAATGTGCAAAAAAATGACTATATTTTTATTTATTGTATTATTAATCAAGTATCAATTTAAGGAATTATTATATTGTTATTATTTATAAAATGATAGATTATATGCTATAATGATGTCTAATATATGTTATTTTATTTGTTGTAAAGTAGATACGCTAATTCAAAATCGATCATTCTTTACATTGAATATTATGAATATTTGAATATGAATATATGAATATTTGTTTTGATGAAGAAGATCTTTTATATTATTTAATGAATTCTATGATGTAATTAGGTTTTATCCATTAAATAATCCAAGAACATATTCGGAAAGACGTCGAAGAACTGGCACTGGACGAAAAAGAGAGATCTTCGAGGAAAAAGCGGCGGCTAGTGAGGACGAATATTTTCGAAAAGAAACCGCGAGACAATTAAAAGAGCTCAAAGAAAAGCAAAGACAAATTAAAAAAGCGAAAAAAAATAAAAAGAATGATAAAGCAGCGGAAAAAGAAAAGCAAAAAAAACCTGCTCAAGCAGATAAAAAGCCCGATAGAAAGTGATAAGATACGGAAAATACAATATATATACAATATATACAGCACATATATATATTACAACAATTATTAACTAATCAATAAATTATATTTTTTTTATTTGGAAATTGTTATATAATATAATCGTTAAGTTTAATAGCGCTTATTTACAGAGCGTTTTTATATAATGTTTAATATAATTTTATATAATGTAATAATTTTTCTCACACATATAATATAATACCTTAATATATTATTTGATAATTTGATATACTTACGTGCAATTTAATGCCTCCTGCAATAGCAGTATTACTTCTCCAAAAAAGCCACTTATTTTTGTTATTTCATTTCGTTCATTACGATGAAACAAACTGATAGGAGGATCCTATGCACATAAAATTATTATGCCAAAGAGAATATTAAGGTGCTTTAAAAATTGTAAATATAATTCTGTTTTAATAAAATGTTATATAAAAAAACGCAAAGTAATAAGTGATTAACAAAAGTATTTTTCAAAGCACTATTATATCATATGTGATACAGAATAAAAAAATTTGTAAAGGTTTATTTTTAATAACAATGCTTTGAAAAGTACTTTCGTTAATAACCATTATCTTGCATTATATCATTATCATCTTCGCCTTTTTGAAGATGATAAAAGTTATTCCACTAATTATCGTTAATTTAAATATTATTATTTCTTTTTTAACAAATAGTTAATCACTAACTTGCATGTTTAATTAATATAAACATTATTATAACTCTTATGCGAAAAATAGAATAAGCGACCTTACTTGGATTGACGTAACGCGTATATTCTGGCCGAAAAGATTGTTCCTTCTTAAAAATAGGCCATGCTTAGGACCTTTCAGTCCATTCCTTACATCCCATATACCGAACTGCGACGATCTCAATTCTCTTCCTTTGTCGACTTGATAAACTTCAGTGATGATTTCTCTGCCGATTACATTGGGGCTACTCTGAACCACCATGAACTTACAGTCAAACGGTATGTAAATCTCAAAGAAAAAGTCTTCGAATTTGGTCTCGTTATTGAAGAATACCATCCAAGTGGGATAAGCCATCGCGATCCACGTTGCGATCTGCTACATTTTAGCATTAAATAAACATTCACGTCAACTGTTCACTTAGGAATTTTCCAGGTTTTGCTTTATGAGAATAAAGCAATAACGAGAAAGTATTTGAAAAAGATAATTTTTCAAAGC